GTTGAAGATCGTACATTGAATTGACCATTATCTACACCAAATTTCATGTCACCTATATAACCTTTCAAAACACCTACCTGTATATATGTATGAATATATGTGCATTAATTATTTCTCATAGGAATATTACTTAGAAAATGGTTGTGAGGTTTAAATTGCGTATTTAAAAGTCATTACCTGTTTTCACAAGCATATATTTATATGCTCTGTTACAACGCAAAATGTAATAAGAACGCAAAATGTAATAAACTGGGATTATTACATTTTGCGTTATTACATTTTGCGTCGAGATCAACGCAAATGTAATAACGCAAATTGTAGAAACAAACTTTCTAGGATTATTGCATTTTGCGTTATTACATTTTGCGTCGAGATCAACGCAGAATGTAATAATGCAAAATGTAATTACACGATTTTTGGATTATTATATTTTGCGTCGAGATTAACGCAAAATGTAATTACGTACTTTTTGATAGTTTCATTTTGCGTTAATTAATTTTTGCGTCTATTACAACGCAAAATGTAATAAAACAAAATATAATAAGATAAGATATAATTATTCTTTTTTGCATTGTGTTTTTTTTTTTGTATTGTGTTCAAAGAAAAACATCACAAAATTCATTTAAACATATATTTAATATGATAAAAAATGAAAAGGTATTATGCTGAAGTGGATGGGTAGGTAAGGGCTATGAAATGCCTTTAAGGTCCTTCATATATTTTTTGTGTATGTACAGTTTAGACAAAAACTCAAAAAATAGATAATGTGTGTCTTCAGACAATAATACGAATCTCACATGAAATGTCTAATCGTTAACTTAAACTTCAGTATGAAAAAAATTTCCATCGCACTAGCAAACAATGGCTGCGACGTTTTGAGCCAGTTGCGTTATTTTTAATCTTGTCTGATGTTGCAACTTGTCACATAGACTCAATATTGTCCAAATATAGGCGTTTATTTACTAAGAAACCTGCATGCAGGGAGGGTGCACGGTATACACGGTAAGGTCTTAACACTATTAAGAGCCTTACAAAGGCGTTGGACAGAATTAAGGAGGTGATGTGGGGCCCCTCATTTATTCCATAAACTTGCATAACGCCGTTGCTTCTCTCACCTTTTTACACGAAAGGTAATGTAATATTAAATAAAAGAAGGCAACACCTCATATACCTTAAATTATATGAAAATATATATAAATCTTAATTGTCAATAACCCCCCCCCCCCCCATCCCCGCTATATTTACATCTACCAGGACAAATAAATAGATTCTTTTTTTTTTTTCTAAATTTCATGCATGTGCCACTCGAAAGCAAAAGCAAACTAATACACAGATCAACGAAATTACCCACACCCCAACACACACAAGCGCGTTTCTAATTTGCAACACCTATGTAATGAATATCAACTGCTTTTTAATGACTATTGAAATCAATATATGATGAAATGAGTTTTAATGTAAGAATTAGTAAAAGTATAATAATCCAAAAATTATCTTCTTACAATTTGGGTTATTACATTTTGCGTTAATCTTTACATAGAATGTAATAACGCTAAATGTAATAATCTTAAAAGTGTGTTATAACATTTTGTGTTATAGCATTTTGCATTGATTTCGACGCAAAATATAATAATACAAAATGTAATAATCCGGATTTATTACATTTTGCATTGTTATTACATTTTGCGTTGTAACATTGCTCTCTGAAACTGGGATTTGTTTTGTTTTCTCAATTAATGTCATGAATATGACTAGAATCATTTTTCTTAACTAAGTAATTTTGTTATCCGATCTCTTTTCGTTTGAGTCAAGCACCAATAATTCAAATTAAAATGGTTATGATTAACTCTTGAAAATGGTTTTCTAGAAAATAATTTAATTTGAATCAATTTAATAAACACCAATATATATTAAGCATCTGTTTCGTCAAATATTTTTAAAGAAAACAATGAGTTTTATATGTCTTAAGCATGCTGCTTCTCATAACTAACGGCATACCACAGACATTGACGATATAACCAAAAAGATATCATTAAGGAAAAAAAAAAATAAACGTCCACAGCAAATTTATTTTATACTTTTTCAGTAAATGTGCAGCACCCTTTCTGTTTGTGAAATATCAAAAATTAGTTTTACCAATTTTTAAGACTGTTTTATAACTAAATTTGACTACTGATGATGCCGTTAACCTGATCAATACATGTACATAGGGCTCACGCGGGTGTTACCAGTCGACAGGGTATGTTTGCTCCTCCTAGGCACCTGATCCCACCTCTGGAATTTCCAGGGGTCCATGTTTTATGCCCTGTTTACAGATTTGTATTGTTCGTAGGTTTATTGTGATCTATCACTGTTATCTTCACATTTTTATCATTACACACAAAAAAGTCTGGTAAAATAAGTTATTACTAAATATTTTGGGAAACTTCAAAGATCTCTGTACCTCCTACCAAGAATGTTGGCAACAGTCAGGTGTCTTGTAACTGTCATCACATATATACAAGGACGAAACATACAAGCATTACTTTCAAGGTGGTTGTTAAACACTTCTGCATAACTCTATATGCTTCTTCTTAAGTCTACATGAAATTTCTTTTCTTTGACTGTTTTTAAGCTGGTTCTTCCGACATATATGATATAGCAAGTCATTAAAAATTTTCTCTTAATATATTAAGTTTCATTTGAAAGTTGAATGTCATACTTATTATAATTGTTGTGTAAGAGAGAAACCGGAGGAGATAAATAAAAATGATGTGAGGATAACATCAAATTACTTCCCGATCTATTGAAATACATATCCTATTATCTCTGTTGTAATCCATTCTTTTCTTAACTCGAGACTAGATAGTGCATGGATTATTGGTGCAACATGCTATTTAATTTCTTTTGAGAGAAAGATATACGTTGATATGTCTATCGTGCAATGAATATGGATGTACAAATAGACACGAAATCTTTATCAGGAAGTTTGAAAGAAGTAAAATGCTTAAAATACACGATATATGTAAGGTTCTAAAATGTGTATGCCACGAAAATTAGGAGCAAAAATTCTTACTCTAACCATCGTCATTTTGGGAGAAGGAAGTTATATGCATTTATTTTGAAAAAAAAAAACAAAACCAAAAACTACGGCATATTCATATGTCAGTCTTTGAGGCTGGGGTACACACGAGTAACTTTTTTCTTTGTTGTCAGCTATGGATTTTCTTTGGACATCTTCTACTTGTGAGTAAGACAATATACATGTATATCATCACTGTCTATTTACAAAAAACATTATCCTCTTTTTTTATTGATTAGAATTGCATGGCTGCAGTGGTGCCATAGAGGAAATATAGAATAAGAAACCACAACAGGTAAGAAAGGAGGCAGTATGTAGCTTCGATGTGTCATTGTAACTATAAAGAAAAACAAAATAAAGAATTTTAGGCTGACTTTCATCAGAATCCGAACATAGTAATCCAAAGCGCCGAAGATTTTTTCAAAGCCAAATTTACCTCTTTTCAAAACTTATATTACTCCAGATAATACATTTATTTCGTTAAATATTTATATGAACAACAATATCAAAGACATAATAATTGATCATTAGCTTATTTGTACTCTAAATATTTGTGACTTTTATGTAAATTTAATTTCTACTCGATTCAGAATAAACTGAGTAAAAATTTCAAATATGAAAAATTTAAATTACAAATGTGTGTGTTTTTTTTAAGATAGCAGTATAATTTTGCTAAATCTAATCTTTAAAAAAAAAATCACTTGTGGCAGGCCTATAAAAATGAAGTAATGGTCACCATAACCTCGGAAATATAATCAAGGAGGAATAAGAGATTTTTAAATTTTATTTTCAAAATATAAAACTATTTTACAGGAACAAAATGTTTTCCTCATCTTTAATGTGGAGAGAGTTTAACTTTGAATGCACCGGAGCTTTGATAAGGTATGACTGAAATAAAATAAATGCTAAAGAAATATATAATTTTTAAGGCTTTAACGGAAAAAAAAATTTCAATAATTTAAGAAAAATTATAAAAAATAAAAACAATTCTAATTACATGTAATATTCACTCTATTTTCAGTCTTGTCCCTTGAAATACATTCATGTCTGTATCTTGGTGGGTATATTATACAGCCATAAGAGGTGAGATTTTTTTTAAATGTTAAATTTTGACAGTGTTTTGTGCCAGAAGAACCGATAAGTATACAAATGGCAAATAATGCAATTGTCTGCAACATGTGGTGTCTGCTTTGTTGTCCTTGTCTTGCACTTGTAAACGTTTAATTGCAGGTTTCCTCAAATGTAAGTTTTCTGTTTGTGTCGTCTGCATTTGTCTTGTGTCTTTTTCGCTTCCTTGTCTGCTTTTACTGTCTGTATGCTGTATGAATGGAGGAATGAAAGGTTTAATAATTAAAACATGTCTTTATTTTCAGGAATTGTATTCAAATTTCATTAATTTTTCTTATTTGGAGATTTTAATTTTACAGCCACCACGCCGAATCCTTGCGTGGAGTACCGTGTGGGCCGGAATTTGTCGGAGGAATGTGGAAATCATAGCGACTCCGGGTACTGCGTGGATGATAACAGCGCATGCCTGCCTTCCCCTGACGGGACAGACTGGAAATGTATATGTATCAATGGCTACTTCTCTTTCAACTCCTCCTGTGTTCAAGGTATGTGAATTTTTCCTTCCATTAAATCCATCTGGTCAATGGCATTGATATAGTAAACCCGGATATTGTAGTATAGATTCTTAGTATGTGTATTTTGTCATATTGAAATCATGTCTCGTTGAAGTGTAAAATTGAAACCATTGATTGAAGAATATTGATATTCTAAAATGACAATAAAGTATAATTTTTTTTTTAAATTTGAATATTTCAGTACCAGAGTCTCTCTTTGAAGATAAGAGTATTACTCTTGGAATATTTACAACCGACAGAATCGTGTCTATCAGCAAAGCTACCACCAAAGATTCAGGTATTTAATGGGAAATACGATGTTTGTTTTTTAAAGAAAGGAAACTGTTAATAAAGAGCTTAGATAAGTTATTGTAAAGTCACCATCTACTTATTCATTGCGACGATCTTAGTATAAAGGTGAAAATATGTAAATGAAGAAAATTACAATAAAGTAAAAAATTTTAATACAAATTAGTATTCAGTAATTTTTTAATATTGAGAACTATAATTTATTCCGTATTCAAAGATAATTGTTGACATTGAAGATTTTTTTTAACAAATGTATTTACTAATACTATTTATACACATTCACAGAAAACTATTTCAAGTTTGGAGATGGTGTAAAAGGAGTTGATGTTAATAACAGTGACTGCGTTCTTAAAACTCTGAAATCTGGATTCAGTTGCTTTTTGAATAACACAGGAATAATTGTGAGGATAGACAAATTACTAGAAGATAAATTGTATCACGTGATTGCGCATGTGACTGTTTTAACTGGACCAGAGAAAGCTAAAGTTGAGGATACCTTAGCAATATCATTCGATATTCAAACAAATCGAGAAAACCAGACAATACTTTTACCTGATGGAATTATGAAAGACACTTTTATTAGTAAGGTAGATTTGGTGTCATACGAAATAAGTCCATTTTTGTTTGGAGATGTAGGGTACTTTCATATGGATTCAAATGGAATTGTGAAAACAAATTGGACAATATCATTGGACGACCATGATCCGAAACTTATTTCTAAACTATTTATCGCATATGCTTACACAGACCTTTATTTGGGGATTGTAGTCTACAAAAAGGAATATGAAATGGACATTGTCGAGAACACCAATGGAACTGTGATTTGCATAACTGCTGCGAGTGTCGATAGTACAATTGTTCAGACAAATGACTTTGTTGCATTACATTCTAATGGTTCTGTGGTGGTTCAGAAACCCTTTGATTATGAAATGAACAAAAAATACATATTTACTGTGTTTAGCCAATACAATGGACACAACTTTACAACCAAAGTAATATTAAATATAATTGATCAAAATGACGAAAAGCCTACATTCACATCAACCACATATAATTTTAAAGCAGTACAGTCAGATTTTAATACTGTGGTTGGTGTAGTTTCAGCCTCAGACCCTGACACAGTCGGAAGTCTCAAATACAATATAACAGGAGATTCAAGGTTTTCCATCAGCTCGTCTGGTGTGATATCCTTGTTAAACGCAAGGAAAAATGGTAATGCAACAATTACCGTGTCAGATGGAAAGTTAGAAGATCAAGCATCTGTTCACGTTGAAGTCATTCCAGTTGTCACGAACGACACACACTTGCAAATAAACCTGACTTGTAATGTCTTTGAAAACCAAACCATAGGTACCTATGTTTGTAATATAAGCCAGACTGGTTACACCGATTACATATTCGACTCACCAGACGCACAGAACTTTTTCAATCTCCATGCAGAAAAGGTACAGTTTATTTATTTAACGATAATACAGTATAGATATTTGAAATACTTTTAGGAATTTTCCTAAATTGAAATTATATTGTGATCTGCTCAATAATTATATGACTGCAATACAGTTATATTCGATATATTGAAATCTCACTTTGCTGTTGTAGGGCACCATTTTAACAAACGTTGTCATAGACAGAGAAACAAATCCTTCCTTTAGCTTTTCTGTTTTAGCAAAGGAAGAGGCAAAGTCATGCAAATTTGCTGTGAGTAATTTTTATTCCAAATTTTAAGATTATTCAAACAGAAATTGAAGAAGTTTAAAATTACGTGAATTTCATATTTATAGAGTATACAAGTGCAGATTGAGGTGAATGATATAAATGATAATCCACCGTCATTGGAAGGCATATACTTAGGATCCATAACAGAAAATTCAACAAAAGTAAAGGTGAGAATCAAACAAGATGGATGAATGGAAATGAATATGCAATTGATAAAAGAACTTTGACCATATGCAATTTTTCTTTCGATATTCTTAAAGCAATTGATATTACATGTAAACGTACCTAGGGTTAAGAATAAATATTCCTTGTCTTTAATTTGAAAGTAAAAAGATTCCACCCTCTCCTATAAATCTCATTTTCCCTTATATTTAAAATTCTTTTTCCTTATATTTAACTCCTGAAATTTAGTTGGAGCATCCCATCCGTGCCACGGACAAAGATGATAATCCAACGTTCACATATAATATATCTGGAGACGTCTTTGCCATAGACACAAGCACTGGAGAAATTTCTGCAGTGAAAGTCATTGACAGAGAATTAAAAGACACATATGACCTTACCCTATTAGTTTTCGATGGAATCCATGCGACCACTGCAAGCGTTAGAATTTCAGTAAATGATATAAATGACAATCCACCTATACTTGGAAATATGATGTACGTATAAGTAATACAGCGTTTTCTTGTCGAATGATATTTAAATGAAACATATAAAGTCTACGTAACTAATTGACAGTTTGGTGTGACGAAAATATTAGGGCATCAACGCCCACTTAATGTTGATAAATTTGTGATCATACTGATCTTCATTGAATTCTTCTTTTTAGGTTTTGGATTCCAGAGAATGCATCAATATATGCCGAAGTTGGTCAAATTACTGCAACCGATGCTGATATCGATAAGAATGCAGAGCTATCTTATAGATGCAATTCGGAGTTTTTCAAAGTTAATGTAACTGGCATGCTGAAAGTGGACCGTGAACTTGACAGAGAAGCAATTGATCGCTATGTGTTTAGCTGCACCGTATGTGACAATGGTCAACCTTCACTTTGTGCAGCATCGCAGATTGAAGTGAATGTTACAGATATTAACGAAGCACCTCGTACGAAAAACAGTGGAAAGGTATTTAAGGTGCCAGAAGCGTCAAATTGTTCAAGTGTTTATAATATGACCTTCTTTTTCGAGGACAATGATCTAGGCAGGAATGGAGAATTAGAATTCAGGATTTTGAGGTATAACATAAACTTTTCATTTTTGATGAAAATACCAAAATTTGTTACTCAATTGAATTTAAAGTAACATTTTACTCTTTACCTAATTGATTTCTTTCTTTTTAAGTCACCATGGTATATTTTCCATTGATTCAAAAGGAGTACTTTCGTGTCCTTATTTGGACTATGAAAACTCAACGGGAATTTACGAATTGAAAATTCAGGCAATAGACAAAGGAAATCCCAGAAATTCAACAAATAATACAATCAATATTTTGGTTGAGGATGTGAACGATAATACACCCATTCCAAGCGAAGACAGGGATTTCGAAATTGTATTTCACAGGTTAGACCTCCAGTGTACTGTAGATTCCTAAATATACGATATTAGGTACTCGCATAAAATAAGGAATCTACAGTGTAATGCGTTAATTTATAGTTTTAGATCACCTTGTCAAGTAGGGAACTTTCGATATTCTCCCAGCATCGGCGTCGATATACTGGCGTCCTAGGTTCAATTTCATTATTGGAGCAAATATTTTTCGTAGTTTAAACCCTGTATTGATCAGAGGTGCATTAATGATGTATCGTTATATTTAATAGTTCAGATGCTTTATTTAAACCAATATTTACCAGAAAGTGACCAGGTTAATGTATTTAAAGCAGGTTAAAATTCTTTGGAAGAAATTGACCTATCAACAGCAGGTCTCTTTATCAAGTAACTGTAGTGTAAACCCTATGATATTAATCCCGAATTTAACTTTCGAACGTCTAAAGTTTTATAGCAGGTCCATTGGCAAATAACTTGAAGACCTACCTACACCAAACTTGCAAAGAGGATGCCTCTAGTGATGTACACTACCAGACTTACTGCGGATTCTAGATCCGACCTTCGTTGTCTGAGTGGTTGAAAGAGTTTAAATTTTAAAACAGGTCCTTTCTTTATACCCCCGCTCCGAAGGAGAGGGGGGTATACTCTTTTACCCTTGTGTGTCTGTGTGTGTGTGTGTGTGTCTGTCCGTAACAAATCTTCATCGCAGTTTTCTCATAAATTCTCATCACAGATGCTTGAAATTTTAGCACACAATTTGTTTAGGCATGCCATGTGAAAATATTCATTTTCGTACGAATCCGTGGTCAACTTCCTGTTTATCCGTGCGTCTGTCCGTACCATACATAACAATTTTTTGCAGTTTTCTCAGCAACTACTCATCACAGATGCTTGAAATTTTAGCACACTCTTTGTTTAGGCATGCTATATGACTGGATTCATATTTGTATGAATCCTATGTCAACTTCTTGTTTATCCGTGCGTTTGTCCGTACGATCCATAACAAATTTTCATGGGATTCATTTTTTTACGAATCTGATGTCAACTTCCTGTTTATCCCTATGTCTGTCCGTCACTGAACTTGTGTATATTCACATCATAGTGTATCATAGCGGGGGTATTACTAGTAAGCATTGGTTCACAGACTTCTTTGGGGTTTTTTTAAATCCAAATAAGAATACAAGTCATATCTGAACCAAATTTGAATACTAGTATGTGATGCATCTGGAGATATACATGTACCTCACCAGACTTGGTTTGGATTCGCGATCCTACTTAAAATTTTACTTTTTTTCTATGCGTGAACAAGTCAGGTTTTTTGGATCAGATCCATACCGAAGTAAATGTAATTAAGCATTACCTGGACCAAACCAGCAAGGAAGATGCCTCAAAGAATGCACACTACCAGACTTAATTTGGATGCTAGTTGAGCCCGATATTTTCCAGAATAGTCGTCAGGTTCAAGAATTTGGAGAAAATCATCTCCCAAATAACTTTTAGCCCTATTCTTCTTCTTCACTTGGTGGAATGTATTCAAATTGAATGTCAATACTCCAGTATTCTTATTAAATTTTTTTTCAAAAAAATTATTCATTTAAGGATGAACACTAAAGACATCTTGTGATGCTGAATTCTACTCAGTTTACTGGATGATTGAACAGTTAAGGTTTCCGAAACAGGTCCATTCCCAAGTATTATGAATCCTACCCAAATCAAACGTGCATTAGATGTTGAATCTAAAGATTCACATTACCCAAACATTACTTGCCTTCCTTATAGATATCAGTCGTAGAGATATTTGAATATGTTTTTTAATGTGTCACAGATACTAGATTGCTAAGGGCTATTTTTTTTTTAAATTTTTTTTTAAACAGTGAAGAATGCAAATCTGGCAGTTGTTCCAAGCTCGTGGCGCTCATAACGGCTAGTGATGCTGATAGCGGTGAAAATGCCGAGTTAATTTTCCAAGAGACTGGTGGCAATGCTAGTGGATTTCTGGAAGTGGGGGAAGATACGGGACTAGTTACAGCTATATGGCAACCAAATAACGGAATCTATCATTATACAGTACAAATTTCAGACAAAGGAACTCCGTCACTTAGTGCAACAACCATCATTTTACTAAATGTGACTATTTTACGGGACACAGGATCAAAGGTTACCAAGATTTTCCGCACAGATAAACTTATATATAACTGGACGGAAAATGCAGACATTCCATTGCCTTTCATCTTTTTAAAGAACTTTACAACTAATGCAACATTACCAGGTGTCAGTTATCATACACCTAACTATATCCTTGCTGATTTTTATCTTAATGATACAAACAGTGGGCTTCTTTTTGTTAATACAACAACACTTAAGAAGAGGCAAGGAAATTCTGCGACATCTTTTGACAGAGAAAAACAAACACAATACCGCTTCATCGTTCAAGCAAAACTGTCACCCTATAGCATGCTTGCTGAAGTAAGTAAATTCCCTGTTGCAGTGGTTTTTATTTGTTCAACAAAGCTAGCCAAGATTTATGTTGATTTTTATCTGCAGTATCTTACAAGAATTTTATATTAATTTGCTGCACTTAGTAGATATGGCAAAGTCGACAAGCAAACTACATTTAAGTCAAGTTAGTTCTTACTTTCAAATGAAATATGGAGATGACGAATGGTAATCAAGTCCATTGAAACAATACAAATCGGGAGTAGAGCAAACACGGACCTCTAAAAAAAAACATCTATTGTAGGATCAAGTGTCATGGAGAAGTAAGCATTTTCTGTCGCCCCTCCACACCCGCCGTGTGCTCCTTGTCATGATCAGGTGAACGGAAAAAAATGTCCTTAGACAATTTAATGTGTAAATAATGGTCTAACAATAGGTATGAAAATAGTCAGTCAGCATTTGACTTAATGATTGACTGTAATTGCTGACGAGGTAATTATATCGACCATAGAATTTGCGAAATGTTGACTTTAAGTAATCAGAAATTAAGTAATTAAAAATTTTCACAAAATGTCTTTCAATTCACAAAGTAATGTGTATTTAACAATGATATTTCTGCATTTCCTCAAACTTCACCATTATAATTAATTTATCATATTGTGTAAGGAAAATTATCAAAGTTCAATTATTTTTTCAGGAGCCTCGAATAAAAGCACCAATATGCATTTTCTAATCGCAAATTGATCAATAATATATTTTAGAATAAAAGAATTATAGAAAACCATGCATTAGGAGAAAATTGCACTTTTTTCACACATCATTCTGTAGAGCGCTCGCTCCGTGATCGGAAGATCGTGGGCTCGATCTCCGGCTGCGACGGACCTAAGTCGATAAAAAATAGCTTGCAATTGTTCCTTCGTCAAGCGCTCGGCACTTTTAAGTGACAGTTGTGGGTCCCTCGGACGAGACCTTGAAAATCGGGGCCCCATTTCACGGCAGGAGTTGGTGCGATAAAGATCCCTCACTGCTAAATGGTCTTGGTGCCGAGTAAAGGTCTAAATTTGAAGCCCGTCACGGGTATATGGTGAAGTCTCTATATAAGTGAAACATTCTCAAACAGGACGTTAAACAACAATCAATGCTATATACTGTATTTTAGTTCTTTTATTTACTTCAATTGTTATATAAACATAGTGTACAAAGCTTGTGCTATCATCGAAAGAGAACACAAATCACTTCTTTCTATATCTTACTGAATGGCATTGATATTTTAGGTTAGATCAAAGAAAATTTGATTTCTCCTAAAATCTATTTATTTTTAAATTTTTATTGGGTACAAATGTCTACATTTTCAATACAATTTCTTAGACTTGAAAGAACTTTGCATTATATTGAGATGCATGAAATGAAAATATTGCACGTAAAGACTTAAATTTCAATTTTCATTTTGATACATTTTAAATAAATTAATAAGTTTAAGCATTAACTTTCCTTGCTGAGGAGCGAATATCCTTAAACGAGATTGTTCATATCCTTGTTTCATCAACTGGTTTGTCCGTAGCTTGCATCGTTCTAGAAAATGTTTGTAGACAGATGATGCTCTTGCGTATCGAATCAACTGAAGACATAAACACCATAAACATGTTGTTAAGAGTATATTACTATATCAATAAGGGAAGTTTACGATAGAAAAGTTTATTTCAACGCGTTTATCATGAAGTTTTGTTATGAGGTTATAAGTTTATGATATAAGATCTTAATTTGTTTTTAGAATGACTTATTATAACTCCTGCGAAGGAGATGTGTTTGTAAAGAAAGTATTTCTATGGGGAAATACCGTTAATATCCATAAATGTTTATATTACACAGAACTTTCACAACTTTATTAATCTTATTTTTTGTAGTTAATTATAAATATTCTCGACGTGAATGACAATCCTCCAGAATTTATCAGTAAAACACATCGTGTGGTTCTTATCAGAGAGAACTCCGGAAATGGTATGGTGCTAAGTATCAATTTAGAGGCGGATGACAAAGACGAGGGAGAGAATGCAGATATAGCTTACAGGATATCGCATGAGGGTTGAACTTTTTTTTCTTCCTAAAATGTCGTATGTCATAATTTATAGAGAGAACAATCATAAATATACATGCTCAATCCAATTCATAGATATGAATAAAATATATTTTAAACTAAGTCATATGTCTGCAAGAGGATTTTTCGAATTATGCTGCTCAATCTTGCATAGCATAAGTATAGAAAGATTATTTACAGTTAAATGATCTCTTTTATTGTTATGATATATTTAACAAAGACTCTTTCCACAGTTAAGTCTTTGGAATTACTTACTATGAAGAAAAAAAAAAACTTTGTAAAATATGTATGACAAGTGATATTTATTTTTTTATTATTATTTAAATCAAATCTTGCTAAAATACTTAGAACGCATATGCTTTGTCATAATTCCTTTCGGAAGATCATACAAGCCACGAAAAACTCAACAGAATACAAGTCTTAAAAAGGTACTCTAAATTGCAGGATGTGGCGGTGTATTCCACTTAACAAATTCTAAAGATATAACCCTCAACGGAGAACTTGACTATGAAACGATACAATCCTGTTTTTTGACTATCACGGTGATATTTTACTCTAATTTGTATATTTGATAGTTTACCTGATCTGCTTATGCGTGCGTTTTCTTTAATTATGAAGGAGGGGAATTCACATTATACTTTTTATTGTTATCTATAATAAAGGTCTATAATCCCAACAAAGAAGAGATGAGTTCTTCCATCAACGTCAGCATTGAAGTCGAAGATGTCAATGATAATATACCAACTTTTAATGCGTCAATTTATCACATATCACTCAACGAGTCTGGAACAGAAGATCTGGTACTTATGCTTCTTTTTATTATCAGCAATCCAATTTAATTGTTTATTAAGGCTCAAAAAGTTTCTTCCAATGCTTTATAATCAAAACTCTTTTAAAACTTCCTTTTTTATCCTTCTTTTTTTTTCTATACAAATTCTATGCAGAACGAAATGAGGAGAAAGTTTACCGTACCACAGTTTTCGGTCGTTGATAAAGATTCCAGACAATATGGTACTGAAGGTGTACGGTTATCGATTGAAGAACCCTCTCTATGCCCAGTTTTAGTAGAAAATGACAGGGGTAAAATTTATTTTCCATTAATAATTCTTTATCATCAGTAAATAATTTCAAGATTGGACCCATTTACATGCTTTATTATTTTTTTTTTAACTTTACTTGCATTTTTTTTAAGTTGACGGATTTACGCTGACGGTTAAACAGGGCATGGAGCTGGATTATGAAACGAAGAAAAATTACAATTGTACATTGATAGCAAGAGATGGAGGTACGCTGAACAGGCTGTATAGGACGGGATCATAATTGTCAAATAAATTCTTTTCCATATTATCTATTTAAAGTCATTGTCCTATTTTAAAGAGATGAAACATATTATAATTTTTAAAATTATTTTCTTTTTATTATTTTTTCCTTGTAAAAAATGTTACTCTTTTAAATACCAATTGATGATTAATGTATCAAGTTATTATGAAAAAAAATATTAGAACGTATACATGTTCACTTCATTTGAATTGAACTAAAAATATTCTTAAATGCATGTTCTTTTGATTTTGTCTTGATAGGTGGTAATTTCTCGACTGCTCTTTTGATGGTTGAAATTCTGGACGTCAATGACAACGCCCCAGAATCCGATGACGTCATACAGATTGAAATCCTACGTTCTGTCAATATTAGTCAAGTTATCGTCGACTTTATAAATGCCACTGACAAGGATAGCGGCGATAACGCTTTAATTGGATTCGGTAATTAACACGAATATAAATCTGCATTGTTTATTTTTAAATACATTAGTCATTACATTTAAAATTTGATTTTTGTGAAGTTCAAACATCAAAAATCGTTGATACAGTGTTATTCACAGGTACTGATTCTATTTTTCATTTTTGATATTTTCAAGCTTTTGCCGACACAAGTGGAGCTTACGATTACTTTGCAATCAATCCCTCAAGCGGAGAAATTTCTATTGCAAAAGACTTGTCAGAGCTTCAAGTGGACTTTACTGAGCTTTACGTCATTGTCAGTGACAAAGGGGAACCACCCTTGTCAACAAATGTTACGGTCCGTTTACATCTTCATTTTATTTTATTTAAAGATTTTATGACTTTTACTCTTAGTAATTTTACAAAGAATATTAATTTGTCGTATTTACTTTCTGTAATATCTATAATCATCGCTCATCGTCTGAACAAGTTTCAATTTTTAACACGACTTGATAAAAATAAATATTTGAAATGCCTGGATATGACGATGCTTTCAGCTAAAATATACATGTATCTTTCTAAAGTAAGTGTGAAACATAAAAATTTAGATATCAGTTCCAAACAGCATATGAAGTATCTTAATTTTAATTCCAGGTCGAAATAACTATACAAGATGAAAATGAACGTCCGTCTTTCAACCAGACCGTGTATCAGGTTGAAGTTGAAGAAAACATGGTGTTATCAGGGTTGCTTACATCAGTAACAGCAGAGGACACGAAAAAAGATGAAAAAGTGATATGTAACTGTACCTATAGTTTCCACCCAAGTATGTATTTCCTCTTGTACTTCTGGGGCCCGTTTCACAAAGATTTCCTAAGATATTTCCTAAGATACAACTTATGTTATGCCTAGGTTACAACTTAGGATGTTCCAAAGTTTTGTCATAGCTGTTTCACAAAACTTTCTTATCTAAAAACCGTAAAGCAGCCATGACTTGGAGGGATGGTGGAAGTGAGTGTGATCTTCTTGTAGGCCTTCTGATATCGTTTTCGATCTCCCCACAGATATCCTGAATCAAATGGCGAGGGAGTCTAAACTTTGAGATAATCTCAATCCATTGGATCATTTCTGTCTCGAAATATTCTTTCTCGTCGAAAGAGATTCCTATGATTCATAATAACATAAGCAGCCGCCATATTTAGTCTGTTCTTAAGACATCGATTTACCTCTACTAAAGTTAAGACACAACTTCAGATTTCATAAGATATGAATAGACTAGTGAAACGGATAAGTAATGAACTTAGGAAAAAGTTCTTTCCTAAGATATAACTTAGTCCTAAGTAGACTTTGTGAAACGGGCCCCTGGACTACTCTTAATAAAATATTTTAAGGATATAAATTCAAGAAATTCCTTGTCAATATCTTCGTTTAGACGATGATTCTGCCTCCTACACCATTGTAACCACTAAAGAAAAATCTGGTGAAATATATGTAACCTCCCAGAATCTTCGATACGATAGGGAAACTAGATCAAAGGTCAGTCTGACCGTGATTGCCGAGGACGAGGGAGGAAAACAAACAAAGGCAGAGGTCCGCATTATAGTACTGGATCAGAATGACAATGATCCCAAATTTGTGGAGGATTATTATCAGTTTGAAATTTACCAGGTAAACCTATATATGTATCTATTCCTCCTCAACAGCTTTTATATGAAAATGGGATTATATGTGTCAATACCGGTATTATAATACACCATGTAGGTTGGACATGTAATAAATGTTTGCACAATAAAATATGTAGATATAGTGTACACGATTGTGCACACCCTGAATTAGATCAATAACATTTAATAAAAAGCCTTAAGGAGGGATTCTTCTCATATTTCTTGTATTTAAAAATTAATGAAATTTTCACAGATTCAAGAAGACATTATCATTGGGTGATGGTATCAATTAGATTAAATTTCACCGTTTTATATCAGGAGCAAGGTCAGGTCAAGGTCACTGTCTTTTTCATTTAAAATAAAAATTTTAAAAAATTACTGTTGCCAATCATGCGATGCCTACTTCTATTTCATAAGTTAGAATATTATCTTTTTTACATAAAAAGATATTACCATATAAGGTCTTTCAGATGATGCTACCAAATTGACAGGAATAATTCAACTAAAAAAGATGTTGGCTAATCCGAATTTCCTCTATTTTTCTTAAATTTTTAAGATATATTAGTTATTTTTATATGCTTTGTATATTTGAAATTTTCTTATTTTCACATATGGTAAAGTAGTCATATAAAGATACATATTGGTACGAAAACAAAAAGTTCTGACCGTTTACTAAGCGAGAAAAGCACTTTTTACAGATTTTTTGCTCAAATCAGTACTTAGATTTGAAGCTTTTAAAAGCTAATAAAATTGTAGTTTGTTTGGAAAATTATATTTATTTGATATATTCTAAAACGCCAGTCCATTATCATTAATTTTACTTACATTTGAAATTTTTTAAGTCTTTGATTGTTTGAATTTTTTTAACTAAATTCATTATTCTACAGTAATTTTGATAAAAGGAGATATTTTCATACGCTGTCAAAAATAAAGTCCCTGCTACATGTATATTTTAAACTCAGTTTACCATTTCTATTTAAAGTTGTACAACTATGATGAGGAAAGAAAAATATGATTTTTTAAATTCCTTACATCTAAATATTTAAGCCATATAGGCAAATATACTTTGAATATTTCATCTAGTCAGAAACCAGACAAGATCCCTCCTTAAGAAGGCTTATTCAGAAAATGTAAAAAAAAAAAAAAAAAAAAAAGAAAAAAAAGAAAAGAAAAAAAAAAAAGAAAAAAAAGAAAAAAAAAAGTAGCATTGAAGTCTGAAAACGTGTTTTGCAATCCAATACTCGATCTCATTTGTGGTTGCATTATAAGTTTCCTGACAGGGCCTACATGTGTGGGTGCGTGAAACCTAAATTGAACTTTGGATATTCTTCTTTGTTTTCCTGACTTTTACATACATACCAATGCATTGCAAGTTACTGAATATTTTTTTTTTAAAAGACCGTTTTTGTTTTGATTGTAGGAAGCCTTTGAAGGAACTTATATAGGCAAAGTTATTGCTGTAGACAAAGACGAAGGAGGCAACGCAATCACTATGTACAGAATCACTAGATATAACGATTCCAGCATTGCGAGCAATTTCAATGATAGCGTGATTGTTATAAACGAAACAACTGGGGAGTTGTTCAGTAATGGATCTCTGAATATTGGCTCCGTCAAAGACTTCGAAGAGATAGTAAGTCAAAGCGAGTTATCTACCTTGATACTTTAATGAAGACCGTGAAAATTGCTTTGCCTTTTGCCAGGTTGAAATTTTATATATGAAAAATACATTTGCAACAGTTATTGTATGTTTATGTTAACAATTGATGTAACACTATATTGTATCGTTTACATTGTTACATGTGTGTATTTTTCTTTTCCACTAGGTAATAATCGAGGCCTTCGATAAGAATGAATCCCTGCGCACGGACAGAGTACGGGTCTCTATAATCGTTAAATATAACGATACAAACCAGAATCCTCCAGTTTTTCATCTCAAAGATTCTGGTATGTCAGTTTCATTTTTGTAGCAATATTTTTTTGGAATCTTGTACTAGTATTCAACACTGAATGATATCTAAAAAAAATTGTTTAAATAATTGTTGCAAATATTTAAATTGAATATGCATTATCAGTAGTTTTTTTTTTAATGTAATCATTTTCTTTAAATATTGTTTAAATAACCGAGATTAAAGACATTCTACAACGGTTACTGCAGATTCTATTGTGAAGTAAAGCCTTTTGTTTAACATTTCAGAGCGCTCCAAAACTGTTCCCCTTACATCACTAAAAGAGGGGTCATATATCTTCAAACTGAATGCAACTGATATAGATTCGGGAAAAGATGGTCAAGTCGCCTACAGCATATTGGAAGGAAATGCTTTTGTAAGAAATTCAATTATCATTTTAAATAAAATGACAAGCAAGATCAAGAAAATTACATTTAATGAATCTTTTAATTTAAATATAAACCAGCTATATTTAGAGATTCATACATCATTACTGTGGAATTATTAGATTTTGCGGTTCCTCAATTTTCGTGGGTACCTCTCATGCATGAATTAACATCCTTCACGAATTAATAAACTATGGTCACAAATTAAGTCGTATTTCCCTTCGAAGGTAAAAGATAATACACGAAATTACGTTCACACGAACCTGTAAAATTTTAAGCAATCAAAAAAAAATTGGTCCCCACGAATTTTAATGATTCCACAGTATTTCATGTAACAAATATTTTTGTATGTTTTATAGGACATGTTTCACATAAATAGTACAGGGGCAATATCGCTCAGAAAAAAGGTGACGTTTATTGATGATCAGGTCATAAACCTGACTGTTCAGGCCATAGACAAAGGAGTCAATCCAAAAACAGGGTATTTATTACGTGTTGTATCTTTCAAGGGGTGTTAATTATAATGAAACACTGGATTTTATGAAGTTGATGATCGTACAATTTCTTAATTGTCTTATTTTAATTTTAAAAAAAAATCTGTGTCATCACAGAAAAGTCCCACCTTGCATTACAATTTACCGTTTTTTGCAGCACTGTTAGTCTTTCTTGGACATTAAAAGGCGAACCTCAGTGTGAGTCTTCTACGACTGGTGCCAGTACGGCAGAAAAACAGTTCCAAACCTACACGTGGTCACTACTTGGTGTCACGTGTCTTCTTATTCTAACTACTGGCATTGGTATTTGTGGGTATGTCACTATCGTTTTCTTTGCAACACTTCTCTTGGTTTATGTTTCCCCTTATCTAATAGGTTGAATAGTACATCAAAAACAGAAATACAAAATTAGCGTTACACAATAATGTAGTCTGAACATAGATACATGTAGCATGATTGCAAGACGGGTTTAAAGCCATTTGTATTGAGCAATAATTGAACAGAGCAAATCTATAAAGGTGCAAAGACATACTTAAAAGCATTTGCAGATATAAAGTAAAAATCATCAATTACCATCATGAAATGTTCATTTAGATGGTGTCGCTCCCGACTAAATGCCAAGAAAGCTCCAGACATTTATGATGACAACAGTGAACAAGGCAGAAGGTTTGGTCTTAAATTAAATCCTAGTTATGGAGCGGGACTACCACAACTAGGTAAATTCCTGGATTTGTCAACGAACGACGTAAGTACCGGTATATTCTATATAAATCTATAATATATGGATTGTTTCATCAGTGTAAAGTCGCTATACTTGGCAATAATATATCATTTGATTTCTTATTTATGTATGCTCAATCTATATTCAGTGGTTGTAGTATTTCACACCTGTTTTAATTTGCGTTGTGTTCTTTCCCTTTGTAATTTGTTATATTTGCTATCTCTAGGTCCAGAGACGACGCCACAATCAGAGACTAGGGTAAGTATGAAACTACTATCCGAACATCTTGGTTTGGTCGCCCATTTTTTCTGGCTAATAATATGTCGTCTCTGGCAATAATATATATGTTAAAATATGTACCTTCAATGGAGACACTGTATTTAGTCTCATTTTAAGTTAATATTGTCCACCAATATCAAAGATCATATACATGTACAAAGGTCAAGATAAGTTTAAACCCCCTTCAGGGTTTCGGCCCTTGATTTGGAGTGTCTTTTAAAACAATGCAGTAATTCATTATCAAAACCTTATGTTATACCTGTATCAAAATGAGCATTCATTTTAAGAGAAAAGATACAGAGGTCACAGGAAGGTCACAAAATTTGCCATTTTCCAAATGTTCTAGCTCATCTTTATTCAGATTTTCATCAAATTTTAAGCACTTTTCAGAAACTTTTCTATCTACCAAATTTACTTATTTCTTGCACTAGTATCAGAAACATCTTACAGATGAAAACTTTCAATTTATTTTTATCTTAAATATGACTGGTGTGCTTTAAAATATATTGTTTCTAAGTCAACTACAGTTAAAGGGGCCTAGATACAGTTGAATTGTTTAAATTTTAAAATTCTGTTTTTATTAAAAAAAATAAACCAAATGAATTGAACTTACATGAATATTACTAGAATTCAATGACAACGACATTCTACTTTACATCACGTCAAACATCTGCATGTTTTTGTAAACAGGGCACGAGCTCTGTTATTGTTAATGTTTACGTTTTACCGGGTGTGTTCAATTTGTTAAACTCTGCACACATGATCAGTGAGCACAGACTGGCAATAATGGGGAATTAGTTTTGCTTTCTCGCATAAATTTCTACTCTGAATTTTCCGGATTATAGGTTTAATAATTTTCATTAACACACAACAAACTTCTACTCTTCTTAAGTAATAATAAAGTTTACCTCGTGAAAGTGCAAGGGTTTGTGTCAATCAAACGTGTCCCAAAAGTCGTAGTGTTAATACATGTAATTCCCACATAAAAGAAGTTTCTGAACACGTTTTAATTGTATTTCTTAGTGAAATGCTATAGCAACAAATAAGTAATGATACTATATAGAAAATTGGAGAAAATGTTAACTTCAAATCTGTGTCTATGCCCCTTTAATGCGAGAGGTCACCACTCCTCCACCAGAATAGTGTCACTATGTACCATGCCTTTGTCTTAGCCCACTCCCTCGCTTGCTTTAAAAAAAAGACCTCAGTGCACTGAAAAAGTTTTTAATAGAACTTGATTTTGTATTATCACGCAAGCCAACTGCTTGATCATCATCATAACCCCCCCCCCCCCCCCCCCCCCAAACAACTTTCAGTTATTACTTATATTAACACCATTTTCTAAATTCAGGTCCTCTATCCAAACCCCGCTTTTTTCTCTCTCACAATTCCGCCCCGCGCGTGATTTTAACCACGCCTACAGATGAACCAATACATGTAGCTTGTTGAAGAAATCAAGTTTTTTTAATTTTGGTTTTATCTCGGCCAAAGAAATTTGAAATGTAAATATTGAATCATCCAATAATTTGTAGTTCTGTTTTACAGCAGTTTCGGCTATGATAGCAGTACCGATGAGCCCGTAGAATTTGACCAAAGGAGGAGTTTCAGAGTTTCCTTGTTTGATCCAGGACCCTCACCGAACCCTCCACCACTACCAAAACCTAGAAATCCAGAAGTTCCTTTCATTCCTAGGCCAGATTATGAATAAAATTACTTAATATTTCATATAGTAAATCAATTTTTTTATTCCAATGACTCATTTTTATTTTTAATTATTATGAATATACAAATGTTATTGGGATGAATGATTTGTTTGCGTCAGGTATGCTCGTTTTCTTGTATATGTGAACATGATATGGTGTGCACGTATACGGGTATCAAATTGTTACATTTTCATGGCTATCAGCATTATTAGCGCATTCATATTAGTAGTACACTGCATTGTTTTTAAACTTAAATCAAATAAAAACAATCTGAAAATCATTTTGTGTTATCATTTATTTTTCTAAAATATATTTGTGACTAGTAATATATGGATAAATCAATCAAACTTTATGATCTATAATTATGAATAATGTGATTTTTTTTCTGTTTTTCCTTTCAGTAAATAAGATAACCTTAAAAAGAGGTAGAGATGACATCACAACTAAATAAGTAACATATATACAAGTATATAACAGAGAAAACATGCACGGAAGGTTGGTTTCAACAGAATACAAAAACTTTTACATACAATAATAAGCACCTTCAGTTTTCTGAAATAAATTTAATGCACAGAATGAACTATATACATATATATACAGTTAAACATCAAAAAATTTAAAGAGAGTGAGGACTAAAATGTCATTATATAGGGACTAGGACAAACATTAAAGGACACAAGTCCTTAGTTACCCTTTGGTGTGAAATAAAACATCTTGCAAATTTTCAAGAAGTCTTGTTCAATCTATGAGACATGATGATGTAGAGAAAAATACATATAACACAATGACTATAGTCCAGATCTTGAGTTACATAAAAAAAATGACCATGTTTTAAAACATATGTATTTGGATTTTTAAACAATGCAGTCAAGATTTATTGTTTTGTTCTTTTCCTTGTAAATTTATAATACATGTATAGCACCATTTATGAAACTAACATAGTTTGAAAAGTTACAGTCTTACGTACTGAATAATGCTGCTACCTTAAACAAGCTTAAGAAAATAATTTTATATATATATATATAACATTCATTTCTCCAACATAGGATAAAATATATTTATTCTTCTAATATTTCAGTATACAGTTATAACAATTAAACAAGGCACATCTTAAAAATGTTTGTTACTTAAACGTTAAAAAAGGTAATCGTGTTCAGTTTGGCACTGTTAAAAATTTTAAACAGAATACATTCGTTTCACTCAAACCAAAACTTTATGACACCCATCACTGTGCCTACATTATGACTCATAAAGATGGTCACATTTTCAAATTTTTCTTGTTTTCTATGAAAAATCATGAACCTTTTAAAGATCACATTATATTATTACTTCTACCTGAGCAAAAAACTTTGAAAGTATGAATTTGTTTGATGTTTGGAAGTTGACATATGACAACTTTGTAAATTTACAATGTTTACAAGGCCATTTAAAGCATAAAGTGGTCAGTAATTTAAAAACATATGAATACCGGTACATGAATTAACATAAAGTCATGAATAAAGTTTTCCTCAAAGAAAACTATGTCTGGCATTTTGAATCTACAAGCAATGTCTTGGATAACAAATATTTGTTGTAAAGATGTCATAATTGACCTTAAATTGAACAAACCCTATGACGAAGTGTTGTGCCATTTTCCACAACTTCATTTTCTACTTTAGCCTAAATAGTGGGTTCATATTCCACATTTGGATTAATTGGCTTTCTAATGTGTCTGTACACCATGATAAGCAACTTCAGCAGCAACAAAAGGCTAGCAACACTCAACATGACAACCAGAAAGATGGAGTTTCTCTCCATGGTGTCCAGGTTGTAATTTTTAGATGTAGCACCGGCCAGTGCCACTACAAAGACAATGTTTGGTGTGAAAGTGTACCTTGTGTAGTTATCAAATACAAAATTGTCCAGGACAAACCAAAGCAAGATAACAAATGACAGAACACCCAGAATTATGGTACAGGCCAAGGCATTATCTACACCCCCTTTATAGATCATCACCATAGCAACATTCAGAAGGGTTGCCACTGTGGTCCAAGTCGCATACATAGCCAGCCCATTCTGAACCAGAAATCTGATCAACCAGATGTCCTTGGTGGCAAATTGTTTGGTAAGAAGGCCAAGATTACGATACAGACGAGTGAAGGAGAAATACAGACAGACATACAATGTAAGGGGTGTCAAGGCAATAACTACCAAAGAGGCAATAATCTCTTGTCTGTCCCACACAAACAGCCAGGCAATGTTACTGAGGTTGTTGAAGATGTACACTGCGTAGATAACAGGAGGCATGACGGGGAGTGTGTAGATGTAGTTACCCTGCTGAGTCTTACGACAAATCGTAGATAAAGCATACACCAACCATAGGGCTTGCCAGGTATATATAACACCCCATATACTGAATGTCCATCCTGCTGGTGTGATTTGGAGGTTGAAGACATCCGAAACATCTCCAGTACTGTTTTTGAATATGCCTGGGAAAAAGAAGAAGAAAATCATGACCATTTGAAAACCTTATCTTGGCTTATATTAAAAATACCAGTAATATTATAAAATCATTAAAAAAAAATTTCAATAAACATCATGCAGACAAATGAGAATGAAAACAAAATCTTAAACTGTTCAATCTATATTACTAGATACTATAAACCAACTTTTATTTGTGATATATTTATGATTTCATTCCTCAGTTTGAAATCCATCAGCAACTTCTATTTTTAGTGAATGAAGAAACTTTCTTAATAAAAACACAATCAATTTTATGATCTGCAGCAAGAAATATTTGCAAGTATTAGTAAAACAAAGTCGTGAAGATATATTACGTATATTTCTCACATGTGAATAAAAGTTGGTTTACAGTATTTCATAATTCCATAATCATTTTTATGCGCCCGGATCGATAGATCGGGGGCGCATATTGTTTTTGTCCTGTCTGTCTGTTTGTCTGTCTGTTGTCAACTTTAACCTTTGCCATAACTTTTGAACCATGAGAGATAGAGACTTCATATTTAATATGCTTACTCCACTAATTAAGCTCTTTCAAATGGCACCAAGGTCAATGACTTTGTGACCTTGACTGTGACCTATATGCTAAAAAAAGCCTTTTTGAACCATTGCCATAACTTTTGAACCATAAGAGACAGAGACTTTATATTTGGTATGCATACTCCACTAATTAAGTTCTTTCAAACGACACCAAGGTCAATGACCTTGTGACCTTGACTGTGATCTCTATGCTAAAAATAGCTTTTTCGAACTTTGTTGCTGCCAGGTGCATAGTGTTTCACAAACACATCTTGTTGATAACCTGCAATAGTGATACACTTGCCCTTTAGGAAAGGATGAGTACAAGGCTTACCAAGCTTCTGCCCTTCACCCCCAGCCAGGGCATTAAATACGACCATCACAATCCACACAAAGCATGTCAGCAGGATCAAAAATATCCACCCTCCTCTGTGTTCACCCATATTTCTGTACTGGTAAAAAACAAAAAAACAGGTTAGTACAGTAAAAATTTATAATCTAGTAGTTTTCTTTTACATTATACCATATATAAGAAAAGAAATGAAATCTGCATAGATATCTGTTAACAAAAGGTATCCTTTCAATATAAGCAGAATTAATGTACAAAAATCTGTGGTATTATGGTTTGTACATCTACATTTCACAATAATTTTCTACAACCACAGTTACTTTATCTTCTACTTATATACATCAATTCAACAATGCTGAACAATCTTCATATGTTTTATGTATTACATGTACATGTATTGTGTTATCTACAGTTTTTTTTTTCTATATACTTAGTTCATTACAAATCTACCACCTTATGTTCAGTTGGCAAATGTACCTTGTTTTTGGGAAGCATTACAATTTTAACCTAACTATCAGATGGTGGTTACTTATAGGCTAATGTCTAAGTAACTTCTTTATTTCTTAAAAGGCTTTTAAGGAATGGAGAGGTCTATGAGGATATACTGACCTACTTAAAATCCATTGCTATGAATGCTTCTAATTATTTTTTGTCTTTAAATGATATACAAACATGTTTTAAATACTGTATATAATAAATTTCATTCTCGTAAATGTAATATGGTAAGGACGTAAGGTGAGCATTATTATTTAAATACCACTTTGACATTGGTCTTGGTAGCTTAGTGTGGAAATTGGTTTCCAGGGAAAAGGATGCCATGCCTATAAGCACAGCAGAGCAGAATGTACCAAATACATGTATTGATAAATGGATATATATAAATCCATCTATGGTTGACCAGTGACTTCTCAAAAGCAATGAGGTTTCGTGTTGCTACCAGTTAAAGTTTAAAGGTCTAGATCTTGTGATTGGCAAGAATGTCTATGTTGGAGACATGAACTTGCTATTTTGCCTTTCAATACTACTGATAACCTACCGGGGTATACATGCTGTTACTGGCTAATATATAGGTTGACCAAGTGATGTCCAAGATGACCGAGAGTGACTGCAATCAGCAACTAAGGTGCTAATCTCAGAAATGCCTCACACTGTGAAGCCACAAGTTTTGCCTGAGCTGTGTGTTTATTCCCTGAATTAATTTGATTTGATTGTGGTCAATCTATATATAATCTTCCTATTCCTATATTCAAATCAGGGTGCATGCCAATCAGCACACTATGTTAAAATTATGTAGGGTGGTACAAACTTGAGATCAATAAATCTGAAGGTTAAAACTGTGGAAATGCTTCTCAATACTTGCCACTTTCAACATGTTCAAAGAAATCAGTCTCAAAGCTTCAGATACCCAAATTTGAAACTTAATTAGGCAAGCTATAATTAATATAGAGAAAGTGTGGAAGGTATATACTGGTATATACTTTGGGATGCTTTGAAATGTTGTTTCGAAGTAACAGCAGTTATTGTGTGAAGTGTTTAGAACTTTAGTGTTTTTCTCTATAGAGCTGTAATGGTTTGGGCTCTGGATATCAGTCTGGATACATGACTAGCTCAGTTGGTAGAGCTGCCCTGACTAGTGATGCAGGGGTCCTGGGTTCAATTCCTGGTCTAGCCATACATTTTCTCCTTTACATAATTTGTTGCCACTAATCAACCCTGGACTTGCAGGTGAAAGTCCTGCCAGGGGCAATAAAAGCTTGGGTTTTGTCTCCAAGGGCAAATTTTTAGACAATTTAAAGAGGAATGAAATGGTTTTGGCCACAGGTACTTGTGGACAGGACCCCCCCCCAATATGCCCCACAGGTCAAAAAAAAATTTTATGTATTTTTTTCGTAAATTATTCTTCTAGTACACATTTACAATGTATTCCATAAGAAAAATCCAAAAAGTAACGCAGAATTAACGTTTTACTAAAAAATCATACCCGCGGTATAATACCGCGGGTATGATTTTTTAGTAAAACGTTAATTCTGCATTACTTTTTGGATTTTTCTTATGGAATACATTGTAAATGTGTACTAGAAGAATAATTTATGAAAAAAATACATAAAATTTTTTTTGACCTGTGGGGCATATTGGAGGGGGGGGGGGGGGGGTTGTCCTGTCCACAAGTACCTGTGGTTTTGGCTATGGATATTGGCCCGGATAGCTCAGTTGGTAGAGCATCTGACTAGCAATGTGGGATCTGCTGATCTGGGGTTAGATTCCTAGCCAAGCCATACATTTTATCCTTTCCTGGTAAAGAGTATTTCTTGGTTGATTATATGTGTATGACATTGAAAGTAAAGATGTATTTCTGCTTACTATTATTATGCTTCCTGTCAGTTTGTCTCTGTATAATCAGTACAAATTTTGGCATAGTGTTCTAAGGATTTATATAGCATAAGCATACTATGCTGAAATAGTGCATGGCTTCTTTTTCTGAAGAAAATCCAACAGCACCCACGCCAGGGATCGTGTAGCACAACATGACATCATAATAGGTTTGAGATTCAAACAAGAATCACTGTAAGGTTAACAGTGGGAGTGGAAAAAAATATTCAAACAAATTTTGTACAAGTCAAATTTTGCCTCCGGCTCATGCACCATTTGTCAAACCCTGACTACTGTTTACTATCATTCCAATAACAGCCTGTCGCTTTGTTTAATAGAGCGTGCTAAAGTTTCAAATGTTGGTCACCATATTTCTCATCGATTGGATGTTTCATTTCAATGGAATGAATACTACTTTGCATATGAACAATGGATTTTGACTGACCACGTGTTGCTGCTTACTACAAATGTAGTACATTTGTACTTGTAAACAATCATTCAATGCGATAGGTATTGCTGGGTTCTCTGTTTCATATGCAAAGTAGTATTCATTTCATTGAAATCAAACATCCAATCGATGAGAAATATAATGATCAACATTTAAAACTTTAGCACGTACCATCAAACAAAGTGACATGCTGCTTTTGGAATGATAGTAGGCATAGTACATTCAAAGCACAACACTATTATATAAATGGTAGTTCTCGAGAGGATAAATTATTAAATTATCAAAGGAATCTCAAAAGAAAAAAACCCCATATAACTACATGTAAGTAAATGTGTTGTCTCAGGAGGTGCTAGAAAATTTATTTTTAGCTCAGTATTTTACATGTACCTATTGAGTAAATAGACAAAGTAGGCATGGTAAGACTATATAAGAGCCATGGCCTAGTTAAGTTTGTTTACATCATACACGAACAAATATATGACACACCTGCTTATGAAACATGCTAGAGTCACATGCACTGAAATGAGTTGTCAAAAGTGAAAAGGAAACGTATATTATATTAGTGCCCTTTCTTCTGGTGTTCCTCAAGATAGTGTCATTAACTGTTACAAGTACAGTAGTTGTCATAAACCTTCTTTCAAGTCCAACTGTTCTATAGTACTTCTAGTTAATATTGATCATTTTCTCTTATACATGCATATACTGTAAAACAAATATATTTTCTTTTTTTAAAAAAAAAAACGTACCAGCTTTATATATATACTTGAGAACACGGTATACAAACGTTCATGAGGACAGTCTACCCCACCAATAAACAGGATAAATAAAAAAATACTTGATACATATGCTATGCTCATATTGTGTCAAAACGTCTACAATAGACACAATTATGTCAGTTATTCCATAAAATATATCTATAAAATCAAATAGTGTACTCACGTTGTGATTCAATTAATCTTTATAATTCTTCTCTTCAATATTCAAGTTAGAGTCCGACTCGGCGTAAAACAATAATAATCAATCAATCAAGTTAGAGTTACGCAACTCTCCAACTAACGCGCTCTCAAACGTGACAAACATTGTAGTATATGTATCGATGAAACTGATTGGTTATAACGACACAACCCATCTGATTGGTCAATCTGTAAGTAGATCGGCAAAACTCGGTCAGTTCCGTCACTGACTGAAAAAAGGTAGCGGCGGATCCAAGATTCTTTAACGGAGGTTTGGGGGCCATCTCAAAGCCCTCAGTGGGTCCACAAAGCCCTGGTGGGAGCACAGACACAGTCACTTGTTTCTGTAGTAAAAGTATAGGATAATATTTATACTATCGGGGTTACACCTTTAATGCAGAAAAAAGGGTATGTGGCCCAGGAGGTGAAGTTCCAAGGTTTTACTAAAATTCTTTGAAATAGTTTTTTTTTTTTTGTCGTTAAATATTGCTTTTATTACACATAAAGCATAAGTATCCTAAATCGGGGTATTGTTCTTTAAAAAAATCTAAAACTTTTAGATTTTTTAAAGAGCAATTTTCCGATTTAGGTTACTTATGCTTTATGTATAATAAAAGCAATATTTAACGACAAAAAAACTATTTCAAAGAATTTTGGGTTACAAAATGGGGCCCCGGTCCCCTGACACCCTCTAAATATAACCCCCATGATTAAAGCGCGGTGATATCTTCAGAACATTGACCTGCTTACTCATGGGAAAATATTTTCCCGAACTTTATTAGCATTATGTGAATTTGTGATATCATGTCTCTATCGCACGATATTATTTTATGCATATAGATGTAGGATAAATTAACTATTTGGACATAATTCAAAGACCAAAAGAAACAAGGAAATCTGGGACGAGTACACAATATCATGTTAAATCTAATATGCGTGTATTTTTTCCCCATTTTTTTCAAATTTTGAGTTTTTGAATATTTTTCCATATTTATTATAAATAAATAAAAATTGCATAAATTTAATCTCCCCGAAATTAGTGCTTACATGTGTATATACGATTTTCGTGCTAGTATAGACCGGTATAAATCTACAGCTACGAAAATTGAAGAAGAAATCGGGGGTCTAATGAATTTAGAAAATGGGCTGGAAAAAGAGCATTTGAACAGTGTAATGTCAAAAATCTGCAATGTGTTTTTAAGCGCAGCCAAAGAATCATTTGGGATTAAACATAAAATAAAAAGCACAAAGAAAAAACCCGAAAAACCGTGGTTTAATCGTTATTGTAGAACGGCGAGGAAAAAAATTCACTTAGCTAAACGTATGCATAATAGAATTAAAACCCAAGATTCTAGAGAAAATCTGAAAATAGCTAGCAAAGAGTATAAAAATGTAATGGATTCATCAATAAATAACTATAGACAAGATCTGTCTCAGAAAATTAAAAAAATGCGAACAAACAACACAAAGGAATACTGGAAAATATTAAATAGCCAAAATAGAAATAATAAACGTACAGCTGATTTAAATAATCTGTATACTTTTTTCAAAAATATTAATGAAGCCGATTTAGAGGAAACTGATTCTGAAATCAACATCACTGAACAAAGTAGGTATAATGAAATACTTGACTATCCAATTACGCAAGATGAAATTTTGGCCGCCGTAAAAGACCTAAAAAACAACAAATCTCCCGGAAGTGACCATATTCTTAATGAACATTTTAGTACCACTATTTCACTGTTTCTGTCTCTATACGAGAAATTGTTTAATCTCATTTTTAACTCTGGGATAGTACCGGAAGAATGGCTTATAGGCATTGTAAAACCTATTTACAAAAATAAAGGAGACCCAACACAACCCGAGAACTATCGCCCGATGACATTGTTGAGCTGCCTTGGGAAACTTTTCACTAGTATTTTGAAAAAAAACGATTAGAAATATATGCAGAAAATGTCAGTCTGATTAACGAAAGTCAAACAGGTTTCAGAAAAGGGTACTCTACATTAGATAATATACTGATTTTGCATTTTCTGTCACAAGCACTTATAAATAGCAAAAAAAAGTTATATTGTGCGTTCATCGAGTTTAAACAGGCTTTTGATACTGTTTGGAGAGGTGGTCTTTGGTACAAATTATTTTCACATGGTGTTAGTGGGAAGTGTTTTACTTACATTAGAAATATGTATATGCAGGCATAAAATCAAGAATAAATGTGGATGGTGTGTCTTCTGAATATTTCACCTGCAAGGTCGGAGTCAGACAAGGCGAAAATCTATCACCTTTTTTATTTTCTCTGTATATCAATGACTTAGAAAATTATCTTACAGAAAGGAATGTTAATGGCTTAGAGAATTTGTCTAAAGAGATTGAAGATGATCTTACCGTTTTTATCAACCTGTTTATATTATTTTATGCAGATGATACTGTTATTTTGTCTGAAACTGCAAATGATCTACAACATGCATTAAATGAATTCTCTGCATATTGTAAAGCATGGAAACTCGATGTTAATAATAATAAAACAAAAATTGTCATTTTTTCAAAAGGACCATCACCCAAACATACATTTGAATACAACAACGATGTTTTAGAAACTGTAAAAGATTTCAATTACTTAGGTATTTTATTCTCAAGATCAGGGTCATTTTCAAAGGCTAAGAAACACTTATGTAATCAAGCACAAAAGGCAATGTACGGCATTATAAGAAAAATTCGTTTATATAATCTACCTTTTGATTGTCAGCTAGATCTGTTTGACAAAGTTGTTGTTCCTGTTTTGTTATATGGGTGCGAAATATGGGGATTTGAAAATATTGATATTATTGAACGTCTACATTTAAGATTTTTGAAATATATTTTAAACCTAAAATCTAGTACGCCAAGTTTTATGGTATACGGGGAGACTGGACGTTACCCGATGCACATACGCATTTATACAAGAATGATATCTTTCTGGGGGAAACTGTTACATGGAAATGAGAATAAGATTTGTAGAATTATTTATTTACATCTTTATGATAAATATACCAAAAATGGAATCGATAATCCATGGATATCTTGCATACAGAATATAGTTAACACTGCAGGACTATGTAATGTTTGGAATGATCAAAATTTTCATAGTGTTAAATGGATTACGACTGCAATAAACCAAAAGCTTAAAGACCAATTTTTACAAAAGTGGTATAATGATATGAATAATTCCAGTAAAGGTATTGCATATAGAATTTTTAAAACAAAGTTTGAATGTGAAAAATACTTAACTATTTCACCAAGAAAATTTAGAAATATCTTTTCAAAATTCAGAACAAGTAACCATCGTCTTCCCATAGAGGTGGGTAGATGGAATAATGTTGAAAGAAATGAAAGAGTGTGCTATTTATGTAATAATAATCAAATTGGAGACGAATTTCATTACTCACTGGAATATAATGTATTTTGTAATATTCGAAAAGATTTTCTGTTAAAGAAATACTATGTACATCCAAATATTATAAAATTCTGTAATTTAATGACAAATACTGACCCAGCATTCTTAAGAAAATTGTGTACATTTATCATCAAAATTTTTGACACTGTCTGTCCTCCTGTAATCTCTGCTCGTCCATTATTATTGTAAACATGTATATATGTACCTCTTGTACCATTCATATGGTTTTTGAGAGAATAAATGAATGAATGAATGAATATAAATCTAGAGAAAATCGGTAAGCAATTAACTTGGAGAGAGGGCTCATATAGGCAATTAATGTATTTTGCTCAATCTTTTATGTTTTTACTTAATAAAATATGGTTAAAATTAATGCGTTTCTTAGTTATAAATTAATGATCAATCAATAGCTCGCCTCTGTTGGAAAGGTATTACTAACTAATCCAAAATTAATTAAATTATAGATTTTTAAAAAAATTTTTCATTCATACTTATGACGACAACAACTTTCAGTACCTGCATAAATGCATTCGTGAATGAATGACTAATTAATGAAATATTTTATAAGCATAAATTACTTTAATGCATATTGTTGTTATGAAATATAATTTCATTTCAAACACGCCTTCATATTTCCACAAATCTTTAACAGTGCAATCGTAATTTGTTGATTTTCAGAGAAAAGGGTTCGATCGAATAGATTGTAGTTTAAACGATTAAAATGAAAATTGTGCTCCTATTCTGTTTTGTTTCTTTTGTGTCTTATTTGTTTGTTTTCTTCATCCAAGTGTAATGACTCCATTTTTTTCAGCTTTACTTCATAAGAAAATCACTGAAAAAAGTTGCGCACTGTAACTAGTTGTTCGTCTTTATTAGTGTCAGGCCGTAATTTTGAAGTTCTGATTTTTTTTAATACAGCTTTTAAATCAATGACAAAAGCACAACTTTCTGAATACACAGCTTTTAAATCAATGACAAAAGCACAACTTTCTGAATACACAGCTAGTAGCAAACACTTTCTTTAAGAAAAACAGCTTTTTTTTTTGTTTTTTGTTTTTGTTTTTTTTGATTTAGTGGCGTACCATACAGAAAACCCTATTAAAAAGTCAAGAAAGAAAGGAAAGAAGATACCATACCTATAGCAGATCTTTGGCTTAACTCCATAAAATTAATTGTTTATCAATCAATCATTTAGATAAATGATAAATTAATGTTAAAAAGAAGAAAAACAAAAACGAAGGAATGCCCCTTGCCAAAAAAAAAATTATCAATTGTGTTGTGCATATACATATTTTCAGATTAAAACATAATCCTTGATATTAAGGTAAAATGTGCCGTTTACGTCATGACTATTTGTGTTGGCACACAATTAAAATCAAAGGATTTGACAACTGTTTTTGTAATTAACATCCATCGAAACAAGTTTAGCTGATTGATAACTAATTTCCTTGCACATGTCTGAGAAGTTACGTTTTGTCTGAAACAATTATTATGTAAAAACGCCCAATATAATTGAATTCCCCTCACCAGACAGTTTCAGTTTGAATTATTATCTTATTAACAGCCTACTACAGATGTGAGTGCGTTTTCCTGATATAACAGCATACTGGAAAGAAACTGATAAAGCACGACTTTAGTTGCAAACATGAAGTCTAAATCGTGTCAAGAAAAAAGAACCTTAACATTATTCATTATTTGCAAGATATGAATGATGATGCTGTAGCAACTTTCTTGTTGTAAAGGAATGTTATTGAGAGTGAAAAATTCTGTCTCATTTTCAAAGTTTTATGAAATTTTTCCTAGTGGGACGGAAGTTCCAAATCCAATGACAAGTTAAGAAATACATGTATCCAACCTAGAAATAAAATGACAAGGAAAAATCACTAACAGCGAAAAACTTAGTTTGTGTGTGCGTGTGTGTGTGTGTGTCGGGGGGGGGGGGGGAGGGGCCGTATAAATCTTATAGACAGTATATAATAGTATTTTATAAACATAATTGTATTTTCTAATTTCTCCGAAAAGGTATACTTTTCTGCACAGTTTACTAAGTAAATTAACTAACTAAACTAAACTTTACTTAACACTGGTTGTACCCTTAATATTATTCGTATTTCTGAAATTAGCAATGTACACATTGTCTCAAAGAGTCACTGATGATGATACAAATAGGTCTTTTTCATCCAAAAACCTATCATCTTTAAGGTTTCTTATCATCTGCAAAAAGCACGTAATTCGGTATTAAGAAAAGAAACATGTGAAAAGCCTGTAGTTCATGCAGTCTATATATATATATATATATATATATATATATATATATATATATATATATATATATATATATATATATATATATATATATATATATCATACAATCATATACAATCTAACTACATGTAGTATTACAAGTTATCGCTGAGGAATGCTTTTACGTACTAGTATTTAAGGACAGATGATACAACCTTTAAAAAAATCATGAAAATAACATCTTTTAAAAGTCATGTTTATGTAAGGAAAATGAATAAATCACAATGTCCTATAAAGTGATAAAAAGTTGCATAGATTTATAAGGATGATTGCAGATCAAGAAAGGTAAAATTTTGAACATCAAAGGAAGTTTCCAAATTCTTAATACTTTAGAAATTTGATATTTGAATCATTTACAACCAAAATAGGTTCCGATATATATATCTATATCCAGGCATCCATTTTTTGATTTATATGACGTAATATTTATATTTATATTTCTTTTCCAGCTACATTTAGCAGCAGATTTCATTTTACCATTTTGTCTTTAGATTTTATAAATGACTAAAAAGCCACTAGTAATACTTGGTGCTTTTATAATATAATATCTTAATTCGTTAAATTAACATTTTATAAAATTAAGTAAACTGATCATCGTTGAATTCGATGTATACATGTAGATTTAAGAGATGCATTTACAAAATAGTTGAATGATACATGTAGATTTATATTTATAGCAAATTTACCCGTACTTGGTTTGTATCTTGTAAATTTTGAATTTACTAGGCGAAGGTGGATTCAACATTTACAACATGATACTTATCATGTTGTAAATTTTGCATTTACTGCCACCTAATAAATTCAATATTTTACAATATGATATTTGTGCCGATAATTGCTGGAAAAGTATGAAAGGATATATATCTGTTATTCAATATTCAAAACGTGTTTTAATAAAGAAACAAGTGTGTTCGTCTTTGTCACATGGAGCATAAACATTTGCGAAAATGACTGTGTCAAACTTCATCTTCTCTGTAGAATTGAAATAAAAATATTTAAAAAAATTGCTTGAAATATGATTTTATTCTTGTCTTGAAAAAAAAGTTAAAGAACAAGGTCACAAAGTGATCAACAAATGAAAACAAGCTACTTCTGCCCCCCCCCCCCCAATTAAAAAAAACAAGGGTCAAACATCACGGTCACAAGGGCAGGTGTTCAGTACCTCTATTATTTTAAAACACATTGTAACAAATGTTAAATTTTTATAAAAATGAAAGAAAAATTCTTTTTCTGGAAAGTTGGTAAAATTAATGTCAGTTTAGATTACGAGTTCTACAAGTTTATGTTGCACTACTTTCTGCAAGCATAGTAATGAAAAGTCTGGTTGGTTTATCAGGCAATATACATGGCAAAAATCAAGACCCTTACTTTTAATCCTATATTTGTATGTCATTCTTATAATTTTGGACAAAATCTTACTTTTGAACAGGAGACCAACTTGCCTTCACAGTTAGGTAGACTGGCATATGTGAACGCTTACTGAAACCCACGACAACAATATCTTACATACTTAAGTTCTTCATATGTTGCTGTGCGGGATTATAGGACCTTAACAGAATCTTCTTAATTTTGTTTCTGTCAGCAACAAACTTCTATTTCTCACTTACGCAGTGTACATGCATTACATTTATAATTTGATAGAGGTCTTTTTATCTAAGCAAAAGATGTTATGAATCTGCTACCGTTTGAGAAGGGGTAGCGGAACATATAATTAGATAGGAGGACCTCGTGCTCATTATAACTATGAAAAATGATTGAGTGCATGGTAAATATTAACATGCAATTCATGTCTTAAACCAGAATTTGAATTTTTGGTTTTGCAATTTTAGTGGAGAAGCTGAGAATGTGGGGTCGAGAATGTTCCAAAGTTTTTGACTGATGATGAACGTCTGACGATGAACGATGTCAAACCACGAAAAAAAAGAGATATATTATCTGCTTGATCCACATGGTAATAAGACTGATATTTTAACAAGGACATGTTTTCAAATCAATATTACTTTTGAAGTAATTTTGATAATGAAACAAAATTTTCATCATATGTTTGATCTTGAATATAATACAAACCTGCAAATTTTAAAGCACATATGTAAAAAAAAAAATCAAGGAATTCAAATCAAAATTTTGACTGAAGTCTGTTCTCAGTTTATGGTCTTGAGGCCAGGGCATAAATATAACAACCTTGCTCATCTTTTCATAGATGAAAAAGTGCCATGGGGAAATCGACATAATGAATATATTTAAAAACTGGGTCAAAGACCGGGAGTCTGTAAAGCTTTTGAACATTTCACAAAAAAAAAAAAAAAAAAAAAAAATAATCATCAGTTTTAATCCTGAGAGAAAACTTCCTCTAAAGTATCTTTTCAAACAAATAAATCCTAAATAAAAATTAAACATTATGTAAATATAGAAGGTTACATTCATGAAATCCACATTCACTTAAGAAAGGCTGATGAATCATTTTAAATTCGAGAGGATCAGTATAAGTGGGCAACCAAACTTTTTTTTCCGATTCATTGGGATATAATTTTTGGGTAACTCATACATACAGAAGATTCAATGAATCAACACGATGATAAAGTTAACCTACTAGATAAGGGTGACCCTCGAAATCCACGAGCATTGGTTCCCGACATACATGTACAATGATGACTCCACAGTATAAATTGTAAAGTTCTTATTTGAAAAAGTCAACTTCTATTTTACAAAGAAAAAAAAAAATAATAATAATAAATAAATAAATAAATAAATAAACTCTAATGTCAAGCAGTGCATGGACAAAATATCAGTCAGTTGAACCTTTTTCACAAAAAATATTTACGATCAGTATTTAGTTTAACTGAAAACTTACCATAACGTAATTTTTTACAAAAAAAATCTGAAGAGATTGGTAATTGTATAAACTGGCATAACTCTCACGCATTTCTTCATGAAAGAGAGTTTTCAGGAAAATGACAAGATTCATCTGAAAGAAAAATTTAAAGATAGATCGTAGGATTTTTTTTGTGAAAAGGTCAAACGATCCCTACTTCCTACGGTTTAAGAAAAGACAGACAGAAGCCAAGTTAAGCAATACACCTGAGTCACAATGAAGAACTCAACAACGAAAGTTTAAATTCGAGTCAGTAAATGGTTGAAAACCTCATGTCGAATAATCTTGACTTTTTAGACGAGACCTTCATTAAGGATTTTCACAGTTATATGGATAGGATTTTATTATATAACTAAGTCTACTCTGGTGCCAAAGTATGACCTGCATGGACAGTTAAACGAAAAGAAAATCGACGCAAATATAATTTATTGTTATATTTTGGTACCCTTTGAAAAGAGGGGAGGGGGAATAATTGTACTTTGTTTCATTTAACTAACACGGATGATTTCTTCACATCTATCAAAAACAAATCAGTTGGAATGTCGATAGTTTGAAATCTTTTGCATATACATTCATAACAAATTTGTTAAAGTCTTAAGCAGAATGAAACCATTACTATACATAACAATAAACTACTACAATATTCAGTCGGGAAAAATACACTAATGCATTACCATCTGTTACTAATTTTAGTGCTTGGATTGCATGTAGCGTCATGATCGACTAACGAATGACTGCTGGGTGTAGATGTGACGGACATGTGATATCTAGATGATCTTGTAATTGTTGTTGCTGTTGTTCCATGAAATTTTCTCTTTGAACAACAAATAAGTTTGAGAAAATGTTTACGGAATTTCTTTCCGCTGAGAAAATAGAAATAGAAATTTACCGCGTGATTCAGATCAGAAAGAACAAAAACGACTTGATAAATCAAATGATAGAGCGCCGTTTCGTAACAACTTTTTTCGAAGTCCCAATAACCATCATAGATGAAGAAAATACAGTTGGGCATAGTTAAGACCGTGAAAACCACGGATACGGTTACCAACATAACGGTGATCTGTGTGTGTTGTTTGGACTGTTTCTGTTGAAGGTTGGTCAAATCCTTTTGTTTCTTCACAGAATCTCTTATGCCAGCGATGATGAGGAAATTCAGAATGGTCAATAAACAAAACGGAGCCATGGCATACACAACGCCATCTATCCAATACCAGATCTTTGTATAAAAGTTATCGTAGCCGACTTTACTCATACAGGAATATTTCCTTAAGGCTGTGTACCCTTCCCGCTTTGTTGCAAAGAAGTGAGAGTTGAGGCTTGCCAACACAAGACCAAGTACAACAAGGACGATGATCACTTTCGTCTTGGTGCATATTTCTTGGACTTTCATTGGGAATTTTATGGCTATAAACCGTTCGGCAGTCATTGCCACTAGAATCCAGTTGGCATACTGCATTGCAAACGTGCCGAGAAAAATCATCAATTGACACCCTATGTCATACATTTGAATGTCATAGTAAGTTAACTGATAATAAAGTTCTTTTATGATGAGATTGAAAGAATCCATTGTTGCCAACGCGATCATAAAAACGGAAGAGGAAGTAAAAGGTTTCATTTTGCAGACAGTAATGATTGCTGCAATATTCCCTGGGATACCCAAGCCCACGATAAAGTACAAATAGTTCTTGTTGATAAACAGGGCCGCAATATACTCGTCATATTCTGTGAATGAATTATGAGATGGTCCGCAATCAGTGGTTATGTTGTCTACACATGAATTGTTGTTGGAGTTGTTAACTGAAGGTGACGTCATCATACACATTGAAGAAGTGACGTTGAACAAAGTTGTTATCTGGGTTGTGACATTCATCTCTGAAAATTAGAACAATAGCTTTTTAAATGAAAAATAAGAATTCCACTCTTTCAAGTTAACTTATAAAAGAGATAATTTTTTGATAAAATTCTTTTCGATGTACTAATAAGGATGGGTAGCTTAATTTCTTTCTCACCTCTATTTCCTTTTTTTATTTTGAATAAACGTACAAATTTAATAGAAAACAAATTCTATTTCTTTTTATTTATTTTTTATTGTACCAGTGGCGTTGTTTCAGTACATTTACGTCAGTGTAGAACTCGGGCACGTAAATCGCTTCTAATTTTGTTAAGAGAAATGCTGCCAGTTAATCACATTTAATCCAGTTAACCTATTTAAGTGACAAGTACAGTAGCTTTGTGAGGAGATATATATATATATATATATATATATATATATATATATATATATATATATATATATATATATATATATATATATATATATATGGTCAGTACAATGACGTTTTTTTGTTGCCAAATTGTAATCAGTACATTAATGTTTTTTACAGAAATTTAAAAGACGAGAAAATATGAAGCTAAGCAATCTTCAATCTTAAAAAATTAACAGTTCCAAACAGTTTTTATCAATCCCTCCATTTGGACATTTATTTAAGAGGTAATAATATTTTCACAATAATTTATAAATTGACAATTTCTCTGATCCTCATCTGTCACACTATATAGGTATTATAGTTAATAAATGTCAAACTCTTCATTGATATACAAAAAGGTATTAATTTGTATTTTTTTCTCTAATTTTCTTTCAATATTCTCAAGAAAGAGATAAGACATGTGGTGCATGATGAAGTGGTTACACTGTAATTATATTTAGTGAAAATTCTATTTGTTGGACAAGAGCTGAATCCCGAAGCAAGACTCGCTGTAAGATTGACATTTTCCTGAAGCTGTTCCGCTTTAGATGCTGTCTAATGATATAACATAAAAACAAAAATAACAAAAGAAAAATAACCAAACAGCATTTGGAACAAAATGTATGTCGCAAAAAAGGCCACATTTCCTTAATTGGAAAGAGTTTTAACACCAGTCCTATATGCAAACATAAAAATTCAGAGATGCACTGGCTTTTGGTCTTTTGTGTTCTGTGCCATTAAGGGATACACAGGAATACAAATCAGAGCTAATTTCATATTGGAGTTTTCTGGTTCTCGTCATGGGCACGGGGGAGTGCAAGTTTTATAAATGTAATATACAGCTCTACAGACTGCTGGGAAAAATCTACGCCTGAATGTAGGAGAACACAGGGGAAATAATGTACTCCGACTATGATATATGCTCTCCGAGTACAGTCTGCTAATGCGCTCTGAGTGATAGGGGTCTAGAATATTAATATGGATAGATCTTTTTTTCAGTGAAAGTTCGTTGATTCTACAGATATTTTTTTATTCAATTGTCCCTCAGAAATTTAAAATGTATATTATTTTCCCAAGGCATTGAGATTCAAAAGTTCATGAAATATTGCTATGAAAATTAATTAGATTTGGGGGTTTGTGAAAGTTCAGGAGATGAAACAGTTGGTTTTCATATCAATCTTATATTGTACTGGAATCAAAGACTTAGGAAAGAAGGAAAGCATATGTCTTTTACAAGACACAGTATCAAATTTGACAAGAGTGACAATATATATATATATATATATATATATATATATATATATATATATATATATATATATATATATATATATATATTAAAATTATCACTGTGTCTTTTAATCATTGCTTATTTTGTTCTTTTCAATATTTTTTTTTCAAACTTCAACGACAAATGTACTCGGAAGTTTTTAATCTCAGCTAGAAGGAATAATTAAATGAACTAGTCGAAATGAGCTTATGAGGAAAAAAAATCCAAAGCGATTGAATTTTTCCTTTTTAAGGCACATCAATATGCTTGTCCCTTCAGCATCTCGGTTTAAAATCAAAAAATCTAAATACATGTAAATAAATAAATATTTTGACAGATGTATTTTAACTTGTTGAAAACGCAAATATCGTTACATGTGAAATGAAATGTTATAAGAAAAAAAAATAAATATTTTTTCCTTCTTATATTAGTTAATGATAAATTCTTACACTTACCGGAACAAAGATAGATCCGAACTTGTATTCAAGACTCTGTTGTCCTGGGGAGAAGTGAAATGAATCTGTTCTCGTTAAAGCTCAAAGCCATCAGAAACTGAGTTATATTGGCTGCCTCGACCAATCTCCTATGTCAGGATCTGGTGTGATTGACAGAGCAATCAATGCCGAATTTCAAAGTAAACAAAACTCAGGCGACCATATGTAAGATTTCTAAATGCGATGTCATCCTTACACCTTGCAAAAACACGATGGATCTTCAAAATATGCGAAAGTAAAGCACCCACGAAGCCAATGTTATGAAAATAAAACAGCACAAGGCATTGCTGCGCTTATTGTTTTTATTTACGTCGCTGTAATAGGGAGATACCAATGTAAAAATTTCAAAAGAGTCGATCGAGTCTGAATAATATACATGTATTTATGAACTTTGATTAAACTAAGCACTGTGTAATGTCATTTAAATCTGTTGGCCACACTCTGAGTGTTAAATTACTATAATGCCAATTTGTCAATTACAAGCATGATAAATATCCGAAGTAAAGGTTATCTGTATAATGATAACAAGACTTGCATTTTCAATTTATAAACTTACCGTGAAATTGTCACATTTTCACCTTTTCTAAATATCTATCAAAGTTCGATAAAAAGTTCATCAAGTTAATGCGCATACATCTAAGATTCTGGTCCTTTATAAAAGAAGGAGTGACCACATTTACTGCAAGATCAACGTTCACTATATGCATCAAATTCTTTTCCTTTGCAAACTGCTGGGTATGAGCATTATATCAATGGAAATGATCTGCCGTGTCTTGCAGAAACAATACAAAAGAATGTCGATGTCTATCGCAATGTATTTACACCGAAGACTTGTAGAAACTACAAGTGATAATATCATCATACATGCTTGTAATTAATAATATGTAGAGTACATGTATCAAAATTGATGTTCATGTATTCCATTGGATATTAAAAAAAACTACAATTCTCTGTTATTTATTTTTGGATTACAAGCAAAACAGAACCTCTTTAGATTTTTAATACTCAACACTCCCTATGATTTCAAAGAGATTTATGATGTAATTTATGTAACCATGACAAGTTCTTCTGAGTCTGTCCGATTTTTGTTTTTGGTTCTGTCCAAGGTATCATTGATATAGTTACTCTTCTGAAAACGATTCTCTCTCTCTCTCTCTCTCTCTCTGATTATTAGTATCCATCACGTCAGTTATGAAAAATAAAATTGATAGAATATTTCCATATTACTCGCAGTAACAACCAATTGCAATGTAAATTAGGTTAAATCTTGATCTTTTGGCGTAGAGCACTAGACAAGTGCCTGTGCAACAGATACTGAGAACTTCTAAATCAGCAGGAGGGTTTATAAAAATTAAACGCTAAATAAATTGCATATATCTAAATGTTCAATACGATTGTATCATCAAAAACTAAAATAAATGTAAAAGAAAGTGTGTCAAGGGGGTTATAGTTTTTGTAAAGAATTTTCTTTGGTTGGAAAATTGATAATCTTTATTACCCTGAAAGAAGCACACTTCTTACTTGGCTTAAATTCGTGTCATTATCTTCATCTAGTTTATTAATGTTACAAGAATTGTAGTAGTATCACTTCATGATGAAGAGAAGAATTTTAATTAGGAATTCTATTCAATTAGTTCCTCAATATTACATGTATATGAATCTGTTCTTTTTAATTTGAAATCAGTTGATAATTTTTCTTGAATATTTATCAAAAAAAAAAAAAAAATAAATAAATAATAATAATAATAAAAAATACTTCATAAGAAATGTGGATAGGATTTTTTATGAGGGATTAGGAAATACAATGCTTTACAAATGTTTTTTATCTAACTCGTTTAATTGTTGCTTTGCAGAAAAATGTTTTCAAATAATCAAATTACTTACCAAAATTCAAAAATGGCATGTACTTTACAGAGCAGTTCAAAGTACAATAAAGTTTAGATCTGCCATTACAAATGCATGTCAAATTGTTTGCCTTAGTTCACTTCAGTATTTTAGATCCCTTTTAAGTTCATTTATAAAATAATGAATTGATGCTGACGGTAGCTCAGAATTAAACAGATTTAATTAAAATCGCCATGCTTTAACTTTTTTTGATGTGAGGAAAATATCACGATGAAGACCAAAAAGAAGCAGAAAATCGATTGTCATATTCAAACATCTTCAAAGCCAATATGATCAAAACTAACAAAAGCCAAGTATCATAACAAAATTATTTTTCAAGCATGGCATATGTAAACTCTGAAGGGAATAAGCCTCAATCGTCAATTTTTATTTACATGGAGCTTTTTCTGAGATATAAAGAGAGAAAAACAACAACCTGAAGTTCTAGAAGACTACTTCATGTTAATCTGTTCACATCAATTGTGCAATTAATGACATTGATGTCAATTACTTCAATTTTATTTTACTTTTACAATGTCCTTCTTACTGTGGACGACAATTTCATCAATTGACCAATTACACGAAGGCGCTTTCGTTTGCACTACTTGTCAATAATGATAATGATCAATTGAATTCACATAAACTGCCCTTAATTACAACAACACGCAAATAGATGTAAATCAGCATTTCGAAGCACCAGAAAGTCAACATTTATGTTATTTCCATGTCCCGAAGGATGTTCAAGCTCGTATTTTTAGGATTTATATGTAGGATATAAGATATCCTGCTATTTGGCACGCATGCTGTTATTTCCCCCTTACAGAAGATCCGTAAATGTCGTAATGTCGTGAGCTTTCTGCAATATATATATATATATATATATATATATATATATATATATATATATATATATATATATATATATATATATATGGAATGAATTTAATAGCTATCCATGTTATACTGTATAACCTGGGTTGGGGCAGTTTACGCTTTATAAAACGCATATTAGTAAACTGTTATACCAGTATAACTTGGGTAGCTATTAAATATATTCCTTGTAATTTAATTTTCCATCATAAGGTGTAGAAAATAAGACAATTTCTCCCTCAAAAAAGCCTTCAAATATATATATTTTAAATGTAACATCAAGCAGATTGATACGTTAATGATCATTAAGTCATTGTGATGTAGGCAACACAGGTTTTACGTTTTTATCCAATCAAGTGACACGTTACAACCAGAATTAAATTATATATATATATATATATATAGAGAGAGAGAGAGAGAGAGAGAGAGAGAGAGCACATAGAAATTCAACTAACCTCTGCCCAAGGTTGAACTCTCGACCCACAGAGCCTGTCTCCTGGCAGTACAGGATCAGAGCGCTAGACCGCTCGACCATCAAGGCAAGTCAAGAAACTTGCTTTCGATGCCGATGGAATTCTCGCGGCATCGCCCTAAACTACATATTTTTTGGAAATGGAAGTGAGATACAGCTATTTGGACATTAGTTTTATTAGAGAGTCATTACCAATACACATTGCAATAATATTAAATTATTTAAAGCACACTCAGTTGACTCCCTGGGTGAAAATGAAAAAAAAACCAAACCATTTAATAATGCGCTCCTCAAATAATTTATTCACTACCTAAACCATCTTTTGAATCATGATTGGTGGTAAACTGCATATGTGCAATAAGGTTCCAGAATCTTCATTTTCTCATGGGAGGCAAATTGGAGACCTAAAAACCTATTTCTCTTTCTACAAAACCATGTTTCTTAAGCTCCACCAATTCTGGGTGAAAATGACTCTTAGATGTGCAATTGGGTTTAGAATTTTCATTTTCAAATCTGTGGATCAGAAACGACTTTTCTTGGAACTCCTCTAGTTGATACTTACCTGTAGATGTGCAACACAATGAATTTTGATTTTCAACCTCGAAGCCCAGTGGCGTTCCGAAAAGGCGTTTTTCTCCACCCCCCCCCTCCCCCAAAGCCCCTAGAATATTTCCTTTTATGCTAAAGGAAAAGGTGAAGATAACGAACAGTAATCGAATTTTTTTTCAAAAAAATCTACAGACAATACTAATCTGTGAAATGTGGGTCCCCGGAAAATTCCAGAGGTGGAATCAGGTGTCAAGGAGGAGTAAGCTACCCATGTCGACCAGTCGCACCCGCCGTGAGCCCTATGTACATGTAATTTTAAAATCAGGTAGACGGAATATTCCATAGTCAAATTTAGCATAAAAACAAAGGCCTAACAATTGGTATGAAGCACATTAGCCAAAATACGACCCAATGATAGGCTATATTTGCTAACAAGGTCAATATAACAACCATAGAATTTACGAAATGCTGACTTTAAACGAGGTTGTTGAAATCCCTGTAATATTAACTCATCTGTAAGTAGCCTGCCTCGGTTTAAAAATTGATCGTACTCGGAATATACTCTTGAGAATCAAATACATGTAAGTTTGGAGGCGTAAATACCATATACAGGTGATGGCATAATACTACTACATAAATAAGGAAAGCTGACGATTTAAAAGCTGAGGTCATCTTGTTTGTCATACAATTTAGTTGTTAGTTTGCCTTTATTAGTAAAACATCTAAATATAAAACAGATGTAGCAGACTCTGTGGTGTCTTTTATTTCGGGTTCACTTGGATATATTTAATTGACTTATAAATGTAAGTAATCATTGTTAATTGATAACACGTCGTCGATATATCTGAATGTTGAGTTAAAGGTCATAGCAAGAGTTTCCTTCTTCTCATGTAGAAGTTTTTGAATAAATTCTGCTTCATAGGAATATAAAAGCAGGTCGGCTAATAAAGGAGCACAATTAGTCCCATGGCATTTCCAACCGTTTATTGGAAGACCTTGTATCCAAAGACTTCATAAATGTTGTAAAAGAAAAGCTCAAGCATATTTTTAATATCAACTTCAGAGTACTTGTGTGTAGAATCAGAGTGATTTTTAACAAAGAAGATGGGCGAACAAGGTGATTAATGCAACAAACATGAAGGTGAAAAATTAAAATTTCAATTATAACAAAATTTTCTTTGATATTTCATCTAACATTAGAGTATACTTTATGTAAAATCATAAATCATGGAAGCAATTTACATTTTTTAAAATTAGATTTTATTTCTTGAAGGAAGCTAAAGGAAGGACAGTATTCTTAATTAAAATAAAGGATTGTAAGGATCTGTCAAAACAGATAAACCTTAGAAGCAGTTAGTTTTGAATAGAAGAAATACCCAACATACAATTCATTAATTTTTAAATCATAAACATTAATATGTATGTATGAAGTTCCCTGAAATTTGATTTTTTGAATTTCATTGAAATCCATCTAATGAACTAGAGGAACCG